TATATATATACATATATATATATATATATATACAAATATATACACTTTTTTTCTAAAGAAACACCTGCACCCACTCCCCAGGCATATCTGTAAGAAGATCGACTGCTATGCCCTGTTCGCCACCCACTTTCACGAGCTCACACAGCTAGCAGAGGAGGTGCCGTCTGTCTGTAACCTGCACGTCTCTGCGATTACATCCGACCGTTCTCTTACATTGCTGTACAAGGTCAAGGAAGGCGTGTGTGACCAGAGTTTCGGTATACATGTGGCTCAGCTGGCTAAGTTCCCAGACAAGGTTATCGAGGTATGCAGGTGTACGTTTGCCATTAGTTGTTTGCTTTGCAGGCTCGTTGTTCAATTGTCAGTCCAAGCTTACTCGGCCTACTTTTCGGTGGTGTCGTTGAAATAAAGCCTGAGAGCAGCAGATTGGATTCTCATTGTATTGTCGTCGCTTGTGCGGTGGTTTGTGCGTGTATGCATTCTCTCTAGATGGCAAAGAGGAAAGCCAGTGATCTGGAAGATTTTAAAGGTGATGGCGAGGATGAGGACGAGGAGGCTGCCAAGAAGGTTAAGCTGGACAGAGAGGTATGTACAGGCATTTGTATAATGTGTACACAAATTGTAGGCCCAACGTGTGTATACATACTTAAGCGTGTCCATATGCACATAAACATATATTTGGGGATATATATATGTACGAAAATCCCCCCAATATCATGGGATGATAGATTTAGATTTGAATCAGTTCGATACTTAGTATACATGTGTGTTAGTATACATATGGGTAGTACATGCTCAGTTGCGTAAGTACTAATCATACGACGCTGCCCAGCATCTCCAGGTTCCTTTTCCTGGCCAAAATATGCTAAGTAGCCCTCCATGCGTGTTTACTAATCCGGCTGTATCTTACAGGAGAGTGATAGGCAAGTAGACCAATTCCTGAAGGACGTAAAGGCTTTGCCCGTGTCAACCATGTCACCGGAAGAGACTATGGAAGCCGTGCAGAAGCTCAGACAAGAGTTAGAAGCCAAGAACAATCCGTGTATAAAGAAGTATGTCTAAGCTTTACAAGAATATACGTACATGTACGTTTCTGTTCTTGTCCATACAGTGTTTTGTTTTTATTGAACAGTAGTGATTACAAGTCAGAGAGTATTCAAATACGAGAGAGTATGTACCCTGAACTTGCGACGAAGCCCTTTAACATACAGTGAGTAAACGTTCCTTACCGCTCGTGACGAACACGTGTGTTGGAGGAGCCTGCCCCTGATAGCGCTCTCAACACGCACACCTTCCCTAAAAGTGCAGACACTCAGCGACTGCAAATGTGTATCCGTCTTACCAATGCATCTGTGACTTTCCTTTGCAGATTGATCGAGGCCGCTTAATTAGCCGGGTATTAATGGTTACAGAAGCAATGCAAGTGTTACGTCTCAAGTCGCCTTGAACGTGGAGTTATAGGCCTAGAGACATGTGGGGAAATAGACAACATGTGTACAGCGCACGGGAGATATTGTGCTTAGTCCCTGCGGGAGAGGCGTGAGACCAATGCCGGGTACGATGCTGGGGTGCAACGAGTACTACATGTGGCCAGACGTCTGAGTGACGCAGAGGGTCTGTGTTTTATATAAAATAAGACGAAAGTGTGTGGATTCCGCGTCTTCGCCGTAGGTAGTGGTGAACTCAGCTACTGCCGTTAGTAAAGTTAAAAGTTATACGCCCCGCCGCCCCATTGACGTTTTATCGGCCGAGTGTCTGGGGTAGCGCAGGTACAGATGTATGTTATATAGGCGTGGCCCAGGCCATGACATACGCCGCCAAGTCTTGCAGCTACGTGTAGCTCGAAAATGGGGAGGGGTTTCGTGTCTGCTGCGAGAGCACACCCCACCCGCACACGCGCCCGCATGGCCTACCCAGACGCACAGTACGCAATGCGAAGGGCAATGCTTGTGCGTAGTCACATCGTGTGTCATCTTTGGGAGAATGAGGAATTGATGGGTTGGTGTCGGCCAAGTGGATGGTTGACTGACGCGCCGTTTATATGGGAGGTACAGCGTGTGGAGACGATTTATGATTTTTAGCTGAAACCCTAACGTTCGGAGAGGCTTTTTGTAGTTACCATCACAGATGGGGTCTCGGCAGTCAAAGGAGATTTAGATGCGTAGATTGATCGGCGACTGAACGAACAATTAGAATCACAATTCAATCCATCAAGATCTGCTGAGCAATGGGCCTGTGATAAACTCTTTTTTAAACGTGTACTCTAGATTACTCCGTACTCCATAGCGTAACCTTGGTGTAGACTGTGCTATATACATTCATAGCCACAACTATCTGTGCAAATTGTGTTCAAATTTATCGAGATCTTACTCCGAATTGTTTGAGTGCTTGTTTTAAACATGATGTATCGGCCCGGGACAATGTTTCGGTTTCATATTTTTGTATTCGGGGAATATCAGTATAAATATGCTCGGAATGGACCCCTGATATGTCTAAACAACACAAGGGTAAACAAACAAACAAACAATTCAATATGAGCAGTACCACGCGATGTGGCATTTCTACTAGTCAACTGTGGGCTGCATCAGTAACTGCGGTCAACGAGACACTCGTCAACTATGGGACTGTTCCGCTCGACCGAGATGTGGATGGCTATCTGAGTCGGTGGGAAACCAATGAACCAGTGGTGGTATTCGCAAGCTCGCATGTATTTGAAGCAAACTATAATATCCAGTCCAGTCACACGTAGACCTCGACAGTGGGTGTTAGCCGGATCGCATGATCTTAACGCAATGAATAATATATTCGGCCTACAACAACCTATACTTAAACGGACTATACTTAAAGTATACCTGGACGCTAGGTTTAGGGTTTAACCCCTTGATATGCAGCCATAAAAATTGAGAGCTGAAATGCCCCTGCAACTACGACCAGCTTATTAGCCGCCCGACATCCATTCTGAACGTGTTTACGACCACGCTTACAGAGTAACTCTAATGATCGAATAGTACAGATACATCGATACAATCAAAGTATGGTGGAACATAAAGGCCACAGACAGACCTTGGCGTGCGTATCATGAGAATAAGCATCCACGGCGACGCTAGCAGCTGGTCATACCAATGAAAGCACGTGGCGCAACAGGGCAATGGACCTGAAACACGGTAAGTTACTCAATACGGCAACCAGAGCGATCTACGAGAAAACAAAGTGCCTGCCTTGTCCTCAATGCCACACTTTATAGTAAAGCCAACCACCAATCCACGCTATTGACAGGTAGTTGGTGTATGGCTAGTGGTATACTGGAAGTGTGTGGACGTATGTCATATGTAGCTGCACAGTGAAACCTGGCCCTTGCATGCTTTATGCCACTTATCTGGTGCTGAGGATAAGCATCTTATTCCGGCAATGGCTCGTACGAAAATATACAACATCTCTATATCAATCATCCTCGCAGAAAGCAAAAATACATCGACCCTGCTTGCGCAAGATAACAATAACTCTACAGACGTGAGATTAGCAGTATGTGGGTCTGAAATCCCGAGGCCTATCACGGCCCCGTTTCATATTTTGTTTCCCATTCCAAAAAAAATTAAGTGGCGCCTGAGTAAGCGCATTAGCGTCGGTTTATCTACAGACTGAGATCAGCTGTCTGCCTTTGCCACTCGGTAGGGGGGGGGGGGGGGGAATCTAAGGGGGGACACATATCCAGCCCCCACCACTCGCAGAGCTATCTCCGCGCAGACACCGTCTTGGGCCTGAACTTGGGTATGTAGGTCAATTTCTCGTCCTTCGGCATGAACGGATTAGACAGTTCACCCGCATCAGCCGTATTATCGGGCCCTACCCACTGCCTGCCCTTGCGCGTGCGCCAATCCCCGCCACGGTAAGAGTCTCTGATCATCGCGACGAAATCCAGCTGCGCCTGAGCCACACTCGGGGAAAACATCGCGTCTCTGTGTACGATTTCGCTGGCGGGAGGTGCACTGACCTGTACTCGGCTGCCAGCGGGCACCTGCAGGGCTACCCACCCAAGACCCAGCACAACCATATCCTGGGCATCGGGGGACAGCAGCTGAAAGTTCTGTACTTTCGCATGACTCAGGTCTACTATCACAGAATCGTCCGTTACGTACTCGTAAGTCCCTGTCCCGTCCTTCTGAGTGTCTACATCACTATGCCTGGATGTGCCTGCTATCGAGATAGCCTCCGCTTGCACAGACACAGGGCTGTACCAGACCATTGTTGGCTCCTCCGTAATCTTCCTATCAGGCAAGTGTATGTCGATACTCAGAGGCAGGCCTGGTACACGCACTCGCACACTACCTGCAGGCGGACGATGGTGCGGCTCGCCTACCTCACATTGCAATTTACCTACCTCTACCCCACTGACCGTATCCGTGCCACACACGTTCGGCGGCACATGCGCGTTATGTTCCGAACTTCGGGGCCACGGAAGGATTTGCGGTTCCAGCATAGTGGGAAGGATGGGCGGGATGTCCCATTGATAGGTGCGAGGAAACAGACCGGGCGTGTCGAACAGAGCGTGCTTGTGACTGTGGAAACACGGGATACGTGTGGTCATAAGCGTGGTACCGGCTAGATGGGAGGTGGTGGAGAGACTCCACTGCACACGCTCTTTGCGATGGGCTTCCTCGCCCACAAACAGGTTTATATTGAGCATGCGCTGTGCAAAGGCATTGACCAGCGTCGATTTACCGACATTCGCATTCCCCATGACGTACACATTGCGTCCCATGAGGTTGTCGCGTATGCACTGCACCAGATTGTTTATGCCACTGTCCCGTTTGCCCGAGAGCAGGAAGGTCTCCTCATACGCCACACGCGTGCCTCTCTCCTGCATCCGGCTCTGGAAGTACTCTCGCAGGTGCCTGCCCTGTGTCTCGTCACTGATATCAAAGGGCAGCAGATCGCACTTGGTCACCACAAGGATAACCGGGTGTCGGTCAATGTACGTGCGCAGATTGCGGATCAGCGACCCCTCAAAGTCCGTCGCATCCACCACTAGCAGCACATACGCCCGCAACTCCTTGGCAATGACCGCTACCTCCTTTTCAAACACAGCCACATGCGCCCTGTCCTGGGGAAGCGCGTGTCTCCGCACATCTGCGACACTCCCGGCCAACTGGTCTCTTTGCCGGGCCTTTTTCACGGCCTCCCGTGGCCCACCCTTGGCCTGCTTGTCCGCTATAAGGGTCCGACACCGCAGACACAGCCCCATCCGATAAAACCGAGCAACCCGCGTGCTTTTGATGATCTTTGAGGTCACACCCTCCTCCGGTCTGAAGGCTATAATCCCCCCACACCCGTGGCATATATTCCCGGCTTCTTCAGCCACGCCTGCGACCATGAACCGCTCGCGCAACTCTATCTCGGGCGAGAAACGCTCACCCCGTTCGTTGTACTTCACTACAGTCAGAGGACGCCCTGATTTCAACGCCTTTACTCCTCTGGATACAGTGTTTCCGGTATCGGACGAGTGTATGGCGTTGTCGGCGCTTGTCCTATCGAGCCCTGCCGCGTCTTGGTGCATACCTTGCTGCGCCGCTCGTTCGTACGCAAGGTCCACGTCATGCCTTCTCCGATGGGGTGACCCAGGTACAACTGTACTGTTCCTACCACCCTCCTCACTAGTACCAGGTATACTCCTGCTTCTGTTACTATCGACTGCACTCGTGCCGCCATCGAGGGCTTTTCCTCGCCTCTCTGGGTGTATCCGTCTGTGTGCATGCGTTGTGCGTGCGTCTGTGTTATGTTCAGGCGTCTTGTTCGCCTCCCTCGCCCGTTGTTCTGATACAATATCGCGCATTCGAGAGTTTTTCCTTGACTCGCCAATAACAACCCGATTTGCATCCACAAAATCTTCATTTGCACCAATTCCATCCCGATTTCTGGTCGCACGAGCGTCCCTGTTCGTCACATCAAAATCACCCCGTACCTTGCGTATGCGCATGTCTTTCTCTCGCTTTTCTCTCATATAAGCAGCCTCCCTATCACGCGCAGCTGCTATAACCCCCTCCCGTCCTCTAAGCGTTAGCCTCGCACGCGTCTCCATCTCCTTCTCTTTGAACTCACGTCGTTTCTTGTCGATGTCGAAATTCGGGTCGAAATCGTTCCCAAACAATGACCCGAAATTGTGACTGCGACAGACGACACGCTGAACTATGTGCATACACTGCGGTGCCGTTCTTGTGCAGGCGAGTGTGTGTGTATGTGCTGAGAGATACGGAAGTGCACTCGCATGGGATAGACCTGCACGACGAGACACGAGAGATCGGTTGTGCGATCTCAGCAAGGACTTCGGCGCCTTTGTGCCGCAATGACGGTTCATAGTGTGTGTGGGTTGTTTTAAACCCCAACTTCCCGTTACCATCGAGACCCGACAAGGACGCGCAAGGCACATACGCACCGACATCTTGGCAGTGTAAAGTGGGCAGACGGATGCAGTTGATGGGCGTGGGTTTTACGACAACACACAAACAGATCGATCTATCTATAATCTAATTCGTACTTGATCTCTGGGCAGAGATGTTAGTATTTGGCCTGGTACATAAGCCCTTAATTACTGGTGCAGTATATTCTGTACTGCTGTGTTGACGTGAAACTTGATCACAGTTTAACTGGATGGCTATTCCTTTCTGTGAAGTAAGTGCGTGAGAGGTCAGACTGTCACACTTTACATTCCCATCAAACTACGAGATGGAAAGTAGCACTGGAGTGCAGATAGCTGATTTACAGCAAAGCATAAAGCATGGCATACTAAGGTATATATCGTCAATGGACTTCTCGACAGAGGAGAGAGGCTATGGACACCCCAATTCTAAGACATGCAGCATAGCAATAGGCTTCACATGATGCATATTGTGGCAAGCGGCCACATGAGATATTCGATACAGAGCAGTTCACTTTGCCGACGAAATTTTAACTTTCAGCCTCCAGGTTCCTTCCAAGTTCCTTCACGTTCATTTTTTTTAACGAACATATAAATAAATAGAGTATTCTCAACAGCATAGTCTGTACTGTCATACGCGTAAACAGCTAGCTATCACTGTGTGTCTGGTCTGTTGCACTGTTACACCTACGACGTATACTCATATGATAGTATCTTGTATATAGAGCGAACGCACATAGTGCGTGCTCACCATTTAGCATTGGGCATTAGAATTTATATATATAAATATATTGAATTTAGAAACTCGGCTATTTAAGACTTGGACTATAATAAAGGTTCAATACATACCATACTGCCATATAGAATAAAGTAAGAGAAGTAAAGTATGAATGCGCTGGCCGACTATGCTGGCAGCTCGTCAGAAAGCGATGGGGAAGGTAGAGCCACCAAACCGACTAAGACAGAGGAGAGGTCACCTCCGTCAACCCACGTGCCCACCAATCTGAGTGCATTAAAGAAGAAGATGCAGCTCAATGTAGCACCCTTAGTGCATGCTAAAACAAATGGCCGGTCCATAGTTCCAGTTGATCCGCATGCCAAGAATTTAGGATACAATCCCAGAATCGATGAAATGTACGGGCCTATTGAAGGGCCTACAAATCCCAACAAGACCTCACAGGAGGCAGCAGAAAGGAATATAATCAGTGGGTATGTGGAAGATACCGGTATAAGTGACTTCGCATTCGAGGAACAACGTAGAACGTTCCATGCGTATGGGTATGCATCGAATCCCTCGGCTGGTGCGAATGTGGTGGGCGATAGGAAACGCGCGGAGAAGCAACAGAATGCAACGGCGTTTGAAGGTAGGTGAACATGTTTTGACACTCCTCTCGCATCCATAGATGTCACCGTGTGTGTACCTAGACTTGAATTGTAATATTCGTGTGATTAGTAGGTCAAGAAATGTTTAAGTACGGCTTCAAACACTCCACACAGCCATAAACGTGTCAGTCATTCCATTACGTTCTATTGTGATGGAGCCGTGTGTTGAAGAAATCGTGATCTCTTTTGCGCGACATTGCTATGAGAGACATATTTCAGTCATAATTTTATGCATATATGTGTATACACACATAAAGACATGAAATTGTATGTATATATATATATATATATTCGTATATATATATATATATATATATTATTTATTTATTTATTTCTTATTTACTTATCTACTTAATATATATATATATATAATATATATATATATATATATATATATATATATATATATATATATTGTATATATATATATATATATATATATTATTATATTATTACTTGTAGTATATAGTTTACTTTATATATATATAATTATATTTATATGGATAGGGATATGGATATGGACATTTATATGGATATGGAATAGATTTCGATATGGATTTGTAAATCTATATCAATTGAATACGCCACTGATTTTTTGACACCCCATTTCAGTCTGCAAATTGTATGTGATCCATACCCACATTCGAGTGCCATTGTTGTATTCGGTCGCAATGACACACACACGTTGCTATGTGTGTCTATGTGCATGACTGTTTGTAACGTGTAGACTTCACCAGTACATGACCAGTGTGTATTTGTTCTGGGGTATTCGTGCGCGTGCTGAGGTGTGTTTATGTTCTGTGTCCAGCGGATACTGCATGTACACATCTCTCCTCGATATCGACGTACCCCGTGCGTGTATGTATGTTGTTCGATGTCATCCACATATTAATATTTATGTGCTCGTGTGTGTATGCATGTCGTTCGATGTTTATTTTTATGTGCATGCCATCCACATATTATTGTTTACATACTCGTGTGTGTATGTATGTTGTTCGCATGTTTATTCATTACATGCATGCCATCAATATATTGATATCTACGTACCCCGTGTGTGTATGTATATTGTTCGTATGTTTATTCATTACATACATGCCAACCGCATATTGATATCTACGTACCTGTGTGTGTATGTATGGTGTTCGCATGTTTATTACGTATGTATTTGTGTATGTTGTTCGTGTTTATTCATTATTTGTATTCCATCCACGTATTAATATTTACGTACCCCTGTGTATTTATTTATATTGTTCGTATGTTTATTCATTATCTGCATGTCATCCACATACTGATATTTACGTACCTGTGTGTATTTATGTTTGTTGTTCGTACGTTTAGTTCATTACATGCATACCATCCGCATAATAAGCCAAAGCACATATCTCCTCCTTTGTCCTAGGAGTTAGAAATTCTGGTCCAAAGCGGAAACGAGAGCACAGAGGCGATGCAGCGGACCTGGACAACTACCAAGGCCCTTGGGCTAAGTGGAAGGATGAGAAGACCACCGCCAAGCCCACAGACGAGCAGATGGAGATTCTAAAGTCGTACAAGGTACACACGGCCCACAACACGCAGATGCAGATGCAGATGCAGATATAGATACACATACACATATACATGCAGATACAGATACACATACAGATGCAGATGTAGATGTAGATGCACATACACACATACATACATACAGATACACATACAGATGCAGATGTAGATATAGATGCACATATACATGCAGATACACATACACATACAGATGCAGATGTAGATGCACATACACACATACATACATATACATACATACAGATACACATACAGATGCAGATGCAGATGAGATCAGTATATGTATCGCTGAGTGGTCTATGTGTACTGATGTCTTATGGTGGCTCGGCTGGGTTGCGTATTTGTACGTGGTTCCTGCATGCGGGGCACATGGGCGGTGGTGGAGAGTGTGCGATGGGCTTGTCATGGTGGGTCAACCCGTGGCTGCGTTCAACTTGTCGGTATCAGACCTCCGAGTAGGGTCAACTCCTCTTGTGTGCTTGTGTGTGGTGGTAAAAGGGTCTGAAGGATGAGTGATTTAAACCAAAGCAGCCAGTGTCTTGGGGTTTGGAATGGATGTGTTCCCAGGGACTACGAGACACTTAACGCGTCCGCTGTATATATTTGGGCGGTAACAGGTGAAGAACATTGCGGAAAGCGGTGGAAAGGCCAAGAAGGATGAGGAAGTATCTGTTCTCAACATTGACGACGCTCAAGGTATGTGGTCTTGTTTGCATGGGTAATTGGGCTCACTCGCATCTGTCCTAGTATTGTTATGGCTCGAACCTGACTGTGTAAAATGTATCGAATCGTGGTCGTCATTGGCAACCCATTTTTTTGGTGCGGAAACGGCTCGATTGAATGGAGGAGGATCGTTTGGTGACCATTGCATAGTGTGTGCATGCAGAATGAGTTTGAATGGGAGAGGATCGTTTTGGTGGCCATTGCGTAGTGTGTGCATGCAGAATGAGTTGCCACCGTGTGCATCGTTGGGATGGTTATATCCCTCCCTACCTTGTGTGTGTCCTATCCAACATGTCTGCACTGTTTCAGGGTCATTTAGGGCAAGAGTGCCCACTGCACTTTAAATACCTATACATCTAGCCGTACCGTTCTATTTGTATAAATATGTGTATGTTAGTATATATATATATATATATAATGATGATTGCAACATCAAGTATATCTGTGTGTCTAGATCCGAGACTTAGAAATCGCTAACTATTTATGGTAGAACCGTTATTTTAGTCAAGGATACCTTTTTGCTCAGACTGTCCCCTGAAATGCATCAAGCTCAATCATACATGTGTACTCAATAGCCGCGCACGATATATATCTTTCAACCCATGCAAGATTATTGCTCACCTTGATACGAATACATGCAAGGCAGTAGGGAATTATTCAATCATTTCATCTAAGTGACATAAACAAGTAGAAGATAATCTGCCTAGGTATTCGATGTACACATGGCTAGGCTGTGAGTAGTCCTCCTCGCGGTGCGCATGGGTCACATTTCTACCACCGCCGCCACCACCACAATATCTATCAATTCGAGTGTATCTCATATATCCCAACTTAACGTGTATCTCATATATCCCAACTTAACGTGTATCTCATATATCCCAACTTAACGCGTATCTCATATCTCCTTACTTAACGTGAATCTCATATCCTAACTTATCGTGTATCTCATATATCCCAACTTAGCGTGTATCTCATATATCCCAACTTAACGTGTATCTCATATGTCCCAACTTAACGTGTATCTCATATATCCCCTTAATGTGTATCTCATATATCCCAACTTAACGTGTATCTCATACCTACTAACAACGTTCATCTCATATATCCCAACTTAACGTGTATCTCATATGTCCCAACTTAACGTGTATCTCATATATCCCAACTTAATGTGTATCTTATATTTCCCAACTTAACGTGTATCTCATATATCCCAACTTAACGTGTATCTCATGTATCCCAACTTAACGTGTATCTCATATATCCCAACTTAACGTGTATCTCATATATCCCAACTTAACGTGTATCTCATATACCAATTTAACGTGTATCTCATATATCCCAACTTATCGTGTATCTCATATCTACTAACAACATTCATCTCATATATCCCAACTTAGCGTGTATCTCATATATCCCAACTTATCGTGTATCTCATATATCCCAACTTAAGTATCTCATATATCCCAACTTAACGTGTGTTTCATATATCCCAACTTAACGTGTATCTCATATATCCCAACTTAACGTGTGTCCCATATATCCCAACTTAACGTGTATCTCATATATCCCAACTTTACGTGTATCTCATTTATCCCAACTCAACGTGTATCTCATATATCTCAACTTAATGTGTATCTCATATATCCCAATTTAACGTGTATCTCACATCTCCCAACTTAACGTGTATCTCGTATATCCCAACTTAACGTGTATCTCATATATCCCAACTTAACGTGTATCCCATATATCCCAACTTAACGTGTATCTCATATATCCCAACTTATCGTGTATCTCATATATCCCAACTTATCGTGTATCTCATATATCCCAACTGAGCATTTCCTCACTACCTTCTGCAGACTACCAAGGACGCACCTTCATGGACATACCCCGCACCGTACCCTCGGGCGTCAAGCTCGACTCGGATGACGGTCCCGAGAAGTGCTATGTACCTACTAAGAACCTGGCTACATGGCAGGCTCACGACAAGGGGGTCAGCGCCATCCGTCTGTTTCCCAGGTCTGGCCATCTCATCCTTACGGCTGGTATGGACTGCAGGGTCAAGCTGTGGGAGTACTACGGGAAACGGCGGTTGATCCGCACCTATGTGGGCCATACGATGGCCGTCAGGGATATCGACTTCAACAATGACGGGACCAGGTTCCTGACGGCGAGCTACGACCGTATGGTGAAGATGTGGGATACGTTCACGGGTATGTATATGTAAGGCGGTTGTGTACTGTGGGGTGTGGGTTGGGGATTGTATTGCTTTTGTGTATCGCGGGATACTGTGACCATCGATAGGGATCGCAAATGATCCTTACTTTTTATGAAGTCAGCTGCAGATCGATCGATCTGTAGTCGAAGTGGTTTGTCAGTAGGTTAACGAGTGGTAAGGTATGCACTACGCCAAGGTATGCTGTGCGCGCCTTGGGTGTAGTCTGTTGATACGCTACCACAGGTTGGGTCCTTATAAGTCACACCCCGATAGAATTGCGCCCCTATACACGAAGCCTGTTGTCTCGCTGTAAGTGGCATGTGCACCCTTTCATTAGTTGGCACGTGCAGCTTGCAGGTACTCCCGGCTATGTTTGGGAGCGCCTTGGTGCTATGCCTAGACATCAACATTGGTGTGAGGCAGAACGTTTGTTCTATTTAATCTTGAATGGCAATGTTCATATACCCGATTTATTAAACGTATCCTTTCAATCCAATTACCGTGTACGTATGTGTAGGAGAGTGCCTAGGTCGATACACCAACGGAAAGATACCCTACTGTGTCAAGTTTAATCCCGATCCCGCGAAGCAACACATGATTGTCGCCGGTACGTCCGACAAGAAAATCGTACAGTGGGACACCACCACCGGTGAGGTCGTGCAGGAATACGACAGACACTTGGGAGCCGTGAACACCATCACCTTCATTGATGGAGGCAACAGGTACGTGTATATCTGTACACAGATATATATATATATATATATATATGTCTAATTCATAGCACTATGCAGGCTTCACATAGCATCATGGAGGTAACAGGCACGTATATATAGGTATATTTTATTGCTAGATCCTGGTGAACAAAACAGAGAAAACTAAGTATCATATGCGCGGTTAAGGTCTATGCATGTGCCCGTGACTATCGCTGCAACGTCAATTGCGTATTGTGTGAATTGCTGTATGCCGGCAATATCTGACAAGTCTTGTGACCAAGTATGTATATTGTGTCATACAGAAGTCTCATCTGATTTGGTGTGTGAGATTCACTGGCAATGCCAAGGTACGAACAGTCCCGCGCGGGTAGGTCATATACACACAAGAGTTCATCAATAATGTATACACACAGGAACCCATCATAGATGCACTTGCATTGACCACGAAGAATAAGACTTTTTTTTGTGAATACTGCCAATATATCCTTTGCATACAGATTGCTCCCTTTCAGGTGAGATTTTTTCTCATGTAATAGGCTCTTTCGATTCTTGTCTGTGAGATCGGTTCTATCATAATATCTTCTGATACACTACACTTCACTCCTCGCCGTCACGAGCAGATCTGTACTTATCATGACAACCCCATCAAGCAAGTGACCTGTGCAGCTTAAATCATCATTACCACACACATACCTCGCCTTATGAACAGAATGGTCTCCACCTCCGACGACAAGTCCATCAAACTGTGGGAGTGGGAGATCCCGGTGGACTACAAACACATCGCCGAGCCTGGCATGCACTCCGTACCCGCCGTTGCCATGCACCCCAAGGGTCGCTGGATGGCCTTCCAATCTCTGGACAACACCATACTTATCTACGGAGTGGGTGAGCGGTTCAGGATCAATAGCAAGAAGCAGTTCAAGGGTCACCTGATTGCCGGGTATGCGGTCCAGCCCGGGTTCTCGTCCGACGGGCGCTACGTCATCTCGGGTGATTCGGAGGGCAAACTCATCATCTGGGACTGGAAGTCTACCAAGATCTACAAGTACGCTTGGGTTACTATCCTGTAGTGTTATATTTTCTTTCGTTGTGCTCGGTACTTGTTGTACCATGGGCCGTCCATAGGTCGTCTTTGTCCTGTTCTTATCCTTTTGTCCCGCTTGTTCTATTTTTATAGTCTGTCCTGTCCTGTATTGTTTTGGCTCTGTCCTGCCCTGACCTGACGTGCCGGGACATAGTGTATCGTCTATATCCGCAATCAACATGTTCTTACACAGGTTTATTTAGTGGTGCGTGCGCATTTAGCGCTGCTACTTGCTGTCAATTTAATTGCATTGTGCATATAGTGTCGTAGTAGGTGAAGCCCGTCCAATCCCGCAAGTGTGCCGACTCACTTCATTGTGTATATGTATCAAAAGAGATTGGTGCCAAAATCCGCCTCGAAATACAGGCACACTGAACTCACCATCATTTTTCGACATTCGTGAATTATGTATATGTCACGTAACAGCACTCTATTTCCCTTCTGGATATTCTATCTTCACAATCATCGCATCACCACACGTCACGTCCAGACCAAGCGCTCTCCAGTGTGCCTCTTAATTATATCAATCCAATCACACCCCTAATCCTATCACACCCCTAATTCGATCACACCCATATTCCTATGTCACTCCTAGTCCTATCACACCCCTAATTCTATCGCACTCCTAATCCTATCACACGCACAATCCTATCACACCCATAATACTATCACGCTCCTAATATTATCACCCCCCTCCTCTCTCTCTCTTCCACGGCCCATCCACTTCTCTCAGACGGTTGGAGTGTCACACAAAGGTTACAATCGGCTGTCTGTGGCATCCGCACGAGCCGTCCCAGGTCATCACATGCTCTTGGGATGGTACCGTCTCAGTGTGGGACTAGCGTTCTGGTGCGTGTGGGCGTAGATTTATACATACATACATACATCCACGCGCACCCGTGCATTGTACATAGAAGGAATAAACATACATATGTGTAGTACTAAGTGTGCAGCTTATACGGTGTGCCAATTGAATGCGCTGAGATACTCCATGTGACTATACTCGTGGGCCATTGGTGTAAACACACCCCCCCTCCCCCCTCCCCCAATGCATGATGTGATCCGTGCGTGTGAGCTGTATTATTCGCACGCAGGTAGGTGTGGCAGCGGTGTTTGACAGCATGCGGCTTTGACGTGTGCCAGCGTTGTGCTAGATAGTGTGGGTATGTACTGTGATGATCTACTTGATACAGAGATAGCGTATTCTTACGGCCTGGATACCTTCATATGCCCAATACATCTATGCTTAATCTATATCACTCATATGTTTGCAGCCACTCGAATGTTCGACAGTTGACAGTGAATCATATTGGCGCTCGTTTGCCACCATTAGGTTTATAGCCTCTGAAGTCGGAAAATGCTGTCTCATGCAATTATGCGTTCTGTGATGGTGTATGCGTAGTTGGAGAAGCACCCCATACTCTGATCAGCATGTATGTACACTTCTTAACTTACGTAGATAGAAGGCGACCCCTGATACACTGGTCAGTATCTATATACACTTCGTAGTTTACGTAGTTAGAAAGCCTCTGATCTCCTATTCAGAGTAAATGTATACTTCGTAGTTTACGTTGTTAGAGAGGCCCCAGAAAACCTGATCAGCGCTTGTGTACACTGCATTGTTTACGTATTGAAAACTCGCCAGGGAAAACTGATACCATACTTCAGTGGTATATCTCGCAGCCGTGACTAATTGCAGGAATGCCAGACGAGGCTTAAAACTGACACACACTATTTCACACCCACATATATACTCATATCTAACGACATCCTATCTATCAAAGAGTATCGCAATCCTCGAAAACACCTAATATACGCAGCTTTGTTTGTATTTGTCGCCAAACATGTAACGGCGTAAACCCACCCATGCGAGATACCAACACACAGCCGAAATACAAATGGACGGTCTTAGTACATTCAGGTACTTTTGCATAACCTTTGTTACCAAGAGTTGAATGCTCTGGTGTATTTGTGTTCAATTGCTACGGCACAATCGTGCCCCAATTTGGTTTCTATGCAGAAACCTGGGTCATGCTCACGCTCACAGTTACAGTGGGACGAGAGAGTCTCTGTGTGCACGTTGTAGAAAACTACGGGACCTACCCCTCGTCTTGCTCTTGGCTGCGGCTAGCTCCTTCTCGCACAATGCCTTGAGAACATCGTAGTTGGGGTCCACTATATCGTCCATATCCGTCTGGTGCAAATGGTGTGTTGCGTATTCGTGCAGAAACCGCACAGCGGCTCTGGCATCCTTGCGGTCGTGGAAGGTCGTGTACGCCTTCTCAAACCGTTCGCAGCGTAACACCTGAGCACTCGTCGCTGTGTCATTGTGTGCGACCAATTCGTACAACCGACACGTGCGCTTCTGCAAGCCCGGCATCACTACATCGTCCACAGGACGGGCCACGAAATCGTCTTTGACTAAGGAGTACGTGACATCGCTGATAAGCACATCCGTGCCATACTTCTTATTGTCCGCCTCCAACCGCGAGGCAAAGTCCACGTTATTGCCAAGCGCTGTGTAGTTTAAGCGCGTCACACTGCCACAGTTCCCCACAATGGCTTCGCCCGTGTGGATACCTATTCGCTGGTGAAGAGCCGGATACCCCTGCAACGCCCACTCCTCTCTGAGCAGACTCAGCCGTGCTTGGCACAGTAAGGCCGACTCGCAGGCTCTGTGTGCGTGGTCCACTACTATCTCTGGTGCGTTCCACATGGCCACTATACTATCGCCGATGTACTTGTCCACCGTGCCTTTGTTCTCGTGCACGATCTCAGACATGCACTGTAGATAGTCGCCCAGGACAGTGTTGAGCTCATCGATATCCAGGCTCTCACTAATCGTCGTGAAGTTGACTATATCTGTGCAGAACGATGTGATCAGCTTGTTCTGGCCTCCTAACGTTGCTTCCAGCCCGGACTGTACCAGTAGACGTACAACATCCGGGGGTACATACTTGCTGAATGACCGCATACTCGTGCGTATTATACCCATCACCTCGTATATCCGTGCAATCTCCTTCACTGGCGAAATCGAACCGTCGGATTCCACCGCCTGCGAGAAGTCCAACCGGGCAAACTTGGACAGGTTCTTGGTACACTCGACCAGACGCCTCGACACCATGTGCGCAACAATAGCGGCTGCTATGAGTGATAAAACGAGAATCGCTACCGCAGCAGCCACAGTTATATGCAGAATATGCTGAAACTCGTCTTGATAGTCGTCGGCGGGAACGACCACGGCTAAAACCAGGTTTCCGCCGACAAACGAGAAAAATCCGATCGCGAGTATGTCGCCATTGTTCATGATGTGCACACTGGGGGTTTGAGAATCGCTCTTTGCAAGGGCCATAGATGCATTCTGGAACCCTAACGGAACACTCTCGCACACTACACAAGCATCCGTTGCTGGATATCCACACTGTACATCATCTGGTACAACAGGATTCTTATTATCACAGCCAGCGGTGGCAGGCAATTCCGGTCGCACATCCACGTAGCACTCGCCAGTATCCAGACAGAGCTGGGAGAGAAAGTCACTCATTACGTCCAAGAGTTCGTTGCCCGAGTCGTACAGCCTGACCCGTTCCAGCACAGTCTGTCCGGGAGTAGTGCAGTTCATGATGCGCTGCAGTGAGCCCCCAGCGGCCTGTGTGCGGTTGGTCGTGGCCAGGAGGTTCCCTTGTGAGGACTCGAACATAACCGCATACCCCGTCTTGAAGTAGTCCTGACTATCCAATATACGAGACATCTGAAACAGTGTCAAATCCGATCCTACAATGGCAACCATCGGCTGGCTCAGATCCTGGGGCACGCGGAATGCCAGCGTTGCACCCAACAACGAACCACCTATAAACGTATACACGGGTGACCATTGGGGCCCCGTATCGTTCGCTACTATCTTGAACCACGGCCGATCAACAATGTCAAACGCCGCCTCGGGCCGGGCGTCTGTGAGGTTGTACACGGTGCAACCGGCCACAGTTTCTTCCGCCACACAGGTGTTGTTGATGCCGTAATTGGCAGCGGTGGGGGCCACATTGGTGTCTTGAATGAGCAGACGAATACTGTTGGCGTGATTGAAATCATCCCCGTTTCCGTCCAGATAGGGCATGTACACCTTGTTATCTAGGTACGCAATAAATATCCCTGACGGACTGGTGTAGTTCATGTCCATTGTCCCGTTGAACGACTTGTACATGTACGAAGTGATGAGTGTAGAACTATTAGACGACTGTATGGAGGGGATAAGAAAGTATCCTGCCGTCAATACGGTTTGCAACTCAGGTAAGAGAAACTCTCGACTCAAACCCACGTCCAAGCCCAGCCAGATCTGTTTTGTGAGTATCATCACCGCAGAGGTCATCTCGCTGAGTGTTACGTTGTACACTAACGCTGTCGTCACACACACCACTACCAGCAACTCGAGGCCTGATATTGACATCAGAGCCGTGCGAATGGATATAAACTTTCTATGAAGATTCTTGAACACGGTCTGATCGTCCATATCTGTGTCGAGCAGTACTCTGCGCCCGCCCTTGGGGTTGGTTCGTTTCAGCGCTTTGTACAGCCCCTCCCTATGCAGCGGTGACACGGGCACCAGAGGAAACCAGCCTTCCTGTGCCGTGAGATTGCGCATGGGGATGGCTATCTCACCCAACGCCACGGGGCCTTGCATGACCACCACCACCAGCTTAGACACGTCTCCGAGCAACCTATCCAGGTAGTCTCCGTGTGACGCGGCTTTATCCAGGCCGCTCGCGGTCGACTCCGCTATACTCCCTACTGCAGCCCTGCTCGCACCATCCAGGCTGGTACTGGCACTCGCTGGACGCCGCCATCGCGAGGCGCCGGACATCGTTGACGCACTCAAGGACCGGCCATCCACACTTTCCGAGCCCTGTAACTCTCCCCTCTTTTTACTATTATTTGCACACTGATCTTTCTGCAGCTGTGTCCATCCAGTGTTCACGGTTACATCTGTATCCCATACTGGATTGTGTACGACAGGCCGCAGATCCTCGGTCGACGTCATCGCTGACATGGGCCGACGGCGTGCGGACGGAGACGAACCCCTCGAGCGCACATTCGGTGAGAGATGTAACGATTGAGGTCTCCCATTCTTTGAACGGCCCCTTGGCAGAGTATTTCCAATGGTAAGATTGCTGCTGCTAGACGACAGAGAAGGCTTGGCTGTGTCCTTTAGAGTGTTGTTGAGGTTGTTGTCCGATATAAGTCTGCGAAGATTGAGATGAAAAGTATCAGAGAGCGGTGGTTCTCGCGATACATTGGCTAACGGGCTTCTATCAGTGTGGTGGGGTGACAACGGGGACACTGCTTTGGTTTTGTTCATGAAGCTGGTTGCCCTTCGGGAAGGCGCACTTTGGGTGCCCGTAAAACTGCCATTATTTGACTGTGGCTCTGGTATCAACGTACTGGTTTGTGATATAGACCCGATACCTTCACTTCGCTGCTTTGTCAATGTCTTCAGTTTTGCAGCCCTTTTCTCGCCACTAGTCACTGTATTTATATGCTCGTCAAGAGCCGAACTAAAACTAGTCTCCGTATCAGTTTGCTTAGGGTTCAGCAGAATATCCATCATATCACTGTGCACCGTGACATCAGGGCTGCACCTTCCTGAAGCGTTTGGTGATATAGCCAACGTTGGCCTTTTCTCTGTTTCTAGGTCACTTTTGTTCGCAAAGACTGCTTCCACATTCTCGCTTACAACATCCCCTGTTTCTAGGTCACTTTTGTTCGCAAAGACTGCTTCAATACTATCGCGTACACCATCCCCTGCACCTATATTCTGCTTAACTACCCCATCAACTACTTGTAGTTCCTTCTGCTCTCCAATTCCCTGTTCTGTTTCTTGAACAGATGTACTTAACCGCTTGAAAGCTGACATTGACATTTCAGGTGTGTGTGTGCCGGTGGGCGATACGGTTCTATTGATAGACTCCGTATCCAACACATCTTTAGCGCTTGATACCAGGCCAATGGTGCTCTGTGCACGTTTTGTACCAACTTTCCGCATCGCTGCGTTCTTTTGAAATTTATGTGTTTGTGTATTCTGTTGTTGCGCCTGCGTCCTGGCCACTCGCTTCGCTAAGGTAAGGGGTCCATCAGCCTTCAAGTCTTCCGTCAGATAATCGTGCTCTTGACTTATATATCCGTCTAGGGTTAAAGATTCACTGCGGACATCAAGTGTCTTGCCACAGCCATCCCTATTGACACCCCTACCGCTCCCTTGTACAAATGCAACTACCTTGAAATCCAGGTAAGCCACCGTGTCTGATTCACTGATGCTGTAGTGCGCGTCATGCCCTGCAAAGAAATCTAAACTCAGATTATCTGAGGCTGTGGTTCCCCCGTCAGTCTTCCTGCGCAAACCATCTGTTACAGGTAAGGGACTACTCATGTGCAAAGCCTCTGTTTGGCAACTTACTGATCGTTGTCCATCAGAAATCCTCGACCCTTTGATCAGACTTGAGATGCCAGCTATGCTTGACATGCGCATGCGGTTGAAGGTAGTACTGCTTACGCTTGTGGGTGTGGTACTCCGGGGAGTTGCAGGCGAATATTGTGTGATATTTGAGTTATATTTCGCAGCTGTGTCTGTACTCAATTCCGATGACGCATTTATGTCTGCACTCGCATTCGAGTCTTCCACTTCCCGCTCAGAGTATATGCCCGCGCCTGTTACCATAGGAAGCGTAGTTGTTGTGTGAGATCTACGCGTACGCATATGTGTATCGATATTGTTCTTATCGGACAGCTGCGAGTGCTTCATGTCTACACTAGATTCACTCACACCAGAATTCACAACATCGGCAACTGGGGTCGTGTGTCTGACGGGTTGTAATGGTGATTCGTTGTATGCAATTTTTTCACTTGTCCCTTCTTTACCTCCATCTTTATACTTATCCAGCTGCGTTACTGAAGACATTCGTTTGGATATCGCGCTGACATTATTGTCTGCAGTTTGATATCCAATGAGAACCGCCTCACGTATTTTCACGCGAAGTAGGGGTGTGTCGATTTCCTCGAAACCCACACGCACATAGCCTCCGTAGCTGGCAGTTGCGGGTAATGCGCAGTCATACTGGGACTTCTTTCGGGCAGGCTCATGTGGATTTGCCATCGTTGCCTCCGGGCGCGCCTGACAAGGACGACTTATGCCCGGTACTTGCCATCACTAGCCCTCGACAAGGGTGTAAGGCTTTCTACTTAACGTATTCAGCTAAAGACATTCGTACAGTTCTCAGCTTCGATTACATACGCGATTCATTTGCATTTAATAGATAGCGTAGGAAAGCTGCCCCTCTACGCACTGTGCCAAATCGATTAATGATTAATTTGTATGTGTTTCGGTCACTTTCGGACGATGGTGAATAAAGCTTGCGTGTATCAAAATGAGATCAACTCTCTCCAAGAGTATTATATATTTACAATGTACATACAATCACACACATACCCATACCCTGGCCGGTATTTTTAAGTATGTATATATCTAGTTTGATAAAAATACTATTCCACCAGCCCACCAAATCCAACATTTTTCAATCACTTCTTTTAGTCGTATTTATTTCTTATTTTTAGTTTTTTGATATAAGAAAATCAATAAAATCATACTCATCTATCAGAAGTCATGCCTTCGGCCCTTAGCCCTCAGGTGGCCTCAACGGCCTTCAGGCTTCAGGCTGCAGGCTTGGAGCTTTCTCAAGTTTCAGCCCTCATCACTGTTTTTAGTGAGCCCCTGGGTGTTGGGTGGGGTCAGCCGTCTGGCCCGAAAATTCGAAAGATTGTTTCTATAGCCTCTTCTGTATTTAGCGGTTGGCTTAATGCCTTGAGCGCTTTCCAGAACAAGTGGACCAATCTCTTTCGATTGTAGAAGAATGAATTATCCTTCACCAATAGCTTATCGTTTTAGCTCGCGGTATTCTCCCATTTCCCCATTTGATTTTTCCCAAATTTTGAGCGAACTTAAAATATGGTTCGCCTGCGTCTATGTATATGTAGTCATAGACCTCATTTGTAAATAATTACCGGCGTTCATTGCGTATTTGCGTAGTAGTAGTGTTCACAGTCCACACTCACAGGCACAATAAAAAGGGGTTTCTTCTTCTTTTTTTTTTTAAATAAAAAGGGTTTATACTTTATTTACTCACTCCTTATTTATTTATTCATCTATGTGTATTTACGGTTTACCCGTAAGGCCGTAACTCGGGGATAAATATGTCTGCAATGAGTATTATTTTTTTCGATCTATATTTATTATTTTGTTATTTTGTTTTTTCAAAGCAAACCAATATTTAGATCCCTGGAAAAATTATTCTGTCCTGATCTTGATTTGATCGTGGAATATCCGACCAAACCCGAGAAGCCCAAAATCTAAAAATCCGACAAATATATAGAAACCATAATCCTTACTAATCGTAGACCGTAGTCCACAGCCCACACGGTAAATACACTAGAAACCCTGAGGGCCTGGTCCCTATTTACCAGACATATTTTTATTTACATAAATAAATAGGCGAAAATTCTCAGTGTAGTGCGCGAAATCGAGTAAATTTGGTGCTCTATATATTTAAAAAGGAAAACCACTTCGCAGTAGGAAAAACCTTGATTATTTTGCACGGTTTACTAAACAAGTTGTAGACCTCTATAGTTGCTAGAATGAACTTCTGTATGGACACTATTTATACTTCTTCAGTATACACCCACAACTTGTGCACTAACTAGTATTATACTATGTTTCTCTAGCTCATCTTTGTTAGTTAAATGATATAGTATAATCATAACTTTTTCCTGCACAACTGATGATATCTCTTAGGAAAACGTCAACTCAATCAATTCACCATCTTCTTATCAAGTTTAAAGATACATCTATCACATCATCTACATATGCGAGAACTACTTCTATTCATCGAACGCCAATAATACTTGAGGTCTGTATACTTATATTTTCCTTGGACATGTATACGTGTGACCTTAGTTTTTCTCATGTCACATTATGTATAACTTAACTATTGTATGTTCACTTATGAACAACTTAATAATTAGCATATACTCTGTGTACACACCCGACATCATATACTACATATATAATTCATGTGTACTTAAATATACTTAGTACTTCATGTGTTAGAATCTCATGTTCATACTTATAGCCACACTAGAGTTATTCCGTACATGAGTAAGTTCTTTGATATAGAATGTTAGAGAGTAACGATGTCCACATTACACGCTCCTCCACAGGGACTAATATATACAATCACAGTCTCTATTGATCCTACGTAGAGATACACATCCGCACATAAGTTGCACAATTAAATCAAGCACAAGATGTCAAGAATATATACGCAATCATCTCGAAGATACGAATAAAAAATAGCATATGTAAGCAACAGATAAGAATCCACCCCGAAAACTACGACCTTGTGAAGTAACTATGGTGTGAATTTTCCTTTCACTAACATCACCGTTCCGTTTTAGTATAAAATGCACCAGATAACTTTCTGTGCAGACACTATTGTCCAATAACAAAAGCAGTTATACTCATAATGACAAGGTATTCGTTATCGCACGTAAATGACCAGGAATGCAAGCGTGACGGAGACGCCTCGAATATCCGAAAGCAAAACTAACATCATATCCCTGCCAAGAATAATAGCAACCAAATAAACTCTCAGTAACCAAGACGACATTAGTCTATTGCGCAACTTGTATAGCCGTATTGCAATTTTTTACCGTATTATCAATAGTCACGTACCGTATGTACCCAGATCACCCCTTATCCATCGTACTTTCTATTCGCCGCCACATCAACCAGTGCACTGCAATCCCGCAAGATCAAATGGATCCGATAGTGGTTTCGAAGATAGTGATGACATCATGCCGGCACTAATGTTGAACAGCAGTGATGGCGACTACAAGCCACCCTTGGTGAGTTATGAGCCAGGAACAATAGTGCCACTGTATGAGACATCTGAGCGTATGCCTATAAGAGTCCTTACGTGCTCCACTACACGACAAAACAGCAAGCTGTAGCTGCACATCCATGACTGTCCGCATAGTAATAGTCTATAACGGTACGATGTATCTTAATTACTTTGTTCTTATGAGATAATACATGAAGAGTGGTACTTTTGTGGTTAGTGACTTGTGCAGGGGCATACCACTGAGCCTGTAGTAATTTCTGTTCCCATTGATATTTGGGGCGCGCCCTTTCGTGGCTTGTCTGTATTCATTTGTTGTGTGAGTCGATGACGAGTGTCCAGGCGTGTAGCAATATGGTCTCTAATGACAGCTGGAAGGCCGAAGTTTTCTACTAACATAGTCCCAATATTGACATGCAAAGTCAACCTTTGAGGATCGTCATAAATTCTACCAGTATGTAGAAAAATGGCGAGAATTCTGTTTGTGAAACTATCGTTACATTATATGCTGATGCCGCAGCTGTAAAAGTTGGTCTCCTCTAGGCTGACTATAAGATACCAAGACGTTTATGTTAATAAGACAATAAGTTAATCCGTTTAAATGCAAAATGTTAAATAAGTTTAGCTTCAACCCTTCGTGATGAGCAAAAGATTAGGGGATTTTAGACTGAGACTATTGTTTATATGCTCCGCTCTAATCACTCACTACTTCGGTCTAGATTTATTTCTATTTTAGTTACTAAGACCAGATATCATTTCATTGGACGCTTAGTTTACATTTCACGCCTCGAAACAATCATCTAATCAACTAACCAATAAAAAATACTTAAGAAAATAAAGGAAAATCAAAACACCAAGCTGGTGCAGTATACATCTGCACCTAGACCCCGTCACTTGGTACCTAGCTTCCCATCCCATTTAAGGCATAAACGGGCACATCTAGTTGGCTGGCTAGGGGGAATCAAACCCATGTTGTCCTAAATTCTAATAACTCTGATCCTGTCCTTTTCTCAGTGGATTATCTTGCTCTGAGAACATTATCGAATTGTACCAACAACCATTTCATGCCTGAGACCCTCTCTCATGGTACTCCCATAAATTAGAGATTCCCAAAGTGTCATTATCAGGTGTCAGATTGGTGTCGTTCCTATATTATGTACAATTCTAACTTCAGTGGAAAACCCAATCTATATTTCGAAAGCCACTTAATTATCCACAGTAGAGTCTCATACTCTAAGTTCTTGTTCATGTCCAATTCGTTAAACGTATTTCAGTATTATAAGAATATCCGTTGATATGTTTATACGTTTATAATATACGTTAGCTGTGCAACTACTATTAGGAACCCGCTATTTTTACACAGCATAAACGTTATATACCAAATCATGATAAGTAGAGGAGTCAATCAATGGGGCCGTCCACTCTTCCAGGGTACGGATGGCCATCTCTGCTCGTCCATTACCGCCGTGATGTGCCACCGACGTTAAATACACAAACATCCCATGCTCTAACGCAAAGTCCTTGAACAACTTGCTGTCAAATATACTGTCCATGTCCGCAACAATATGCTGTGGAAGTCCACAGGGAAACACTTGTTCTAACATAAACTTGATGACACCTCTCGTAGTTTTCTTAGCTTGCGTAAATGTAATAGCTGGGCCTCCATATTAAGCTCTATGTTATACACGTACTCTTAAGCAGTACGTAAACTACAAACGTATTCTTAATAGTACGAGGAACTTAAGTTTCCTAAATGGTTTTTAACGGTTTTATTAATTAATACCTTTTCCATTTCACATATCAGATATTTGGACAAGGCCATTAAAAGGCCCCAGTAAAATACCAAACATAAGATTTGGTCTAGTTCTATTAATAGAACTATATTTACTTTCCAAATCTATTTATATCTGAATACTTCGGTAGCGAGATGGCTCAACCGAACATAGGTTTCTAAGGACTATTAGCATTGCTTAGTTTATCCTCCTTTCAGCCAACCAGATGTGCCAGTCTGATGAAGGCTAAGTCGATAATTCTTGATAAGTGGTAAGTTATTGGTTAATGCAATAACTATGGACATCAGGAGTATTTTTCTTTTTCTATTCCTTTTTTCTTCTAAAGATAGGATTTTATGAGTATCTTGGATTGCCCCAACGAAACATACCATAGTTTCTATTAGAGTGACAACGAAACACTCAATAAAATCCCTTCGGCGAAAACAGTACTGAGAGGATTATATATAGGCAATGTCTCAGCCTCACAATCCCTCAAAGTATTGCTGTTTTCACGAGGCATACCTAACTTTACTAAACGACTCATTTCGTTTATTTATTTCAAATTTAACTATACTTAGACTTAACCGAAGAGTTTAATTACTTTAAGGCGTTAATATCGCCTTGATAGACCGAAACTTACATAAAAACGCAAACCACTAACAACTTCGACATTTCGTTTACAGCGACTTGCAA